TCTGCCGCCAAAGCAGTGTTAGCACTACTGTGTTCCGACCTGAAGGGTAAAGAGAGCCAGTAGCATAACTGGATAATTAAATAATTTAAAATTAAAAATTTTGTACAGCCGACTTCAATATAAGTTATTTAAGAATAACTTAAAAACTATTGGTCTGACCTTGATCAAATTCATATGGGACCACACGAGAAGTACCAGCTTTCAAATAAAAAAAGAATCATCGAAATCGGTTCACCCAGAAAAAAGTTCTGAGGTAACACACATAAAAAAAAAAAAACGAAAAAAAAAAAAAAACATACAGTCGAATTGAGTACCGGCTCCTTTTTGGAAGTCGGCAGAAAAGAGGAAAACCTACTCTTTGTTTGAAGTTTTTTTTTTTAGAAGCATTGTTAGAAGCGTCAGTAGCCTAATGGTAGGGCGCGGACCGCGAACTCGAAAGGTCGTGGGTTCGCATCCGCCATTCGACTACTGTCGTGAACCACTTCTAACACAAGCATTTTAAGCTTACCAGAAGTGGTTAAAGGGAATATTAGTAATGTTTAATGACATTACTAGTATTTAAAAAAAAAGTTAACAATCAGAGACTAGCTTGATGTAATTGTATTCTACACACGTGACAGAATTCAACAGATAGTACCATAATTCCAGCAATACAATGTAATCCATGCACAAAATTAAATGAACACTCCACCCTCCTCCACATTAATAAACGTATTATCGTACAGAACAGCAAAACAACAAATAAACAAATGTTTGCACAAACGAGACAAAAGCCAAACACGAATATCTAACACAAATTACATTCATAAATCACACAATAAACGACTCCACCGGCAAATCAAAATTCTACACCATATATCTATACGCATCATGTTATATGATGATTGTAAGGGAATGTTGAATTGATATCGATAAAATCCAAATGGTAAAAAGTAGATATAAAAATGTTTTTAGTCGACTACAAAAAAGGAGTACACTAAAAATAACGGATGTATGTTTTTTTATTGTATGTATGTTATCCGATATCACTTTTCACTGGAAATGAGGCATTCCATCTTAGTCCTCAGAGATAGATGTTTATTGGCCACAGCATCCTCTTATCATCAGGTGAACTGTGTGCTCGTCTGTCACGCTTATTAAAAAAATCATCGACAATTAAGTGCAAACTTCACTATTGCATAAAATGCTAATTCCACCATATTCACACGCGAGCGCGGCACAACAATGACGTAGTCATGGCAACACCAACATGGCCGCCACTATCTGTGACAACCGCGTTCACATAGAAAACAATGATGCAATCAAGATAACAAATAATGCGTGTGTTGACTGAACTTTTTTAAACGTTTAATTTTACGGTCATTGATTGGATTTACGACAGCCTTTTGTTTCATGGTTGTATTGTGTATTTTATATTTAAATATCGGCTGGCCTTTAGTTTATTAGTTTATTTTTCTATTGTATTTTTATTATGTGCCAGGAATAATTTTATACCACGTTAACAAAAATCATTGTGGCTGAAGATAAAGTTAAAGTTGCAGCCCATATATACGTCGCACTACTGGGCACAGCATTTTACCAAACTCAATGTAAATAATCATTAAATTTTAATATAAACTTTTTTCCATTAAAGAGCCCTTTGAACATTTGTTTAAATTTATGTTAACATTCTTTATAAGTTTAAGTCTATTAATTAGTCTATCAGGTAGTCTATTAAACAGTTTTATAGCTTGATTTCTAACGCTATGCTTAACTATCTTTAATTTTGTATTTGCACACCTCGAACGCGAAACGCAGGGGTTAGGCTTTACTTAGGGTTCTTTTTGAACAAATATAGTATTTTTCGCTAAAAAGATGCAAAGAAAAAGACGACAAAAAGACATTTAGAAAATTCAGACATTTTTACACATTTATTTTTAATATTTATGCATTTTTCCATATATCATACATCCTAATGTCAATAAGGAAGACGGACGAGTGCTATCATCTGCTTTAAATCCTATAATTAATCAAGTTAAATCCCAACCAAAGCATACAACTGAAATACTTCAAGATACTATGAGTTCATACTGCGTCGATCGGAACAAAAGTTAATAGTTTTAATCCGAAGGTAGTCGAAGTGAACTATTGGACAGGGATATAGAATACCTCAGTAACCCCGCGACCATGGGTGCTGTAAAGTGCTCCATAATATAAAATATTTTAATATACGCGGTAAAATCCATAAAAACTTTTTGTAATTTAAAATAAACACTTCCACTTAAGACTCCCTCTATGCATGTTTACTTGATTTTTTTTTATTAATCCATTCGTAACAGCTACTAGAGAGACGGCACTCGAATACGTACATAAAGGACTCGTATATACGTAACGTGAAACGTATTACATTGAAATTGAATCGTGTTGAATGTCTCAGGGGAACATAATCATATTTTATATGTTTAGGTGGTTATAGACTATGGTTATCGGAATTTCGTTTGGGATACACGTTTTCAACAACACTCACAGAATACCAGCGTCAAATAGCAGCTTCATGCTGATGTTTCGTATGGTGAGTATAGAGAACCGGAGACCCTTTTTACTGGAAAAGAGCCATTCTATCTTAGTCCTCACGGGTGACAACGCATCTGCATTTTGATTCGCAAACGAGGATAAATTTATGTCTATGGGCCACAGCAACCGCTTCCCATCAGGTGGACTGTGTGGTCGTTTGTCACCCTATCCTATAAAAAAAAACATCATTTTTGCATAAAACCAAAAAGTTATTTATTCCTTGTCTTTGTACTTGTCAACAAATAATGGACATAGGCTTTATTCCAAGTTGTGACTTTCATCCAACCTGTAGGGCTAGCATAGGCAGGAGACAATTTTGTCCCCGGGGAAAGGAAAAAATGTTTTCCCCTCGCTTAATTTTATCCATACTTCGAGCATGGGCACACCGGTGGATATAATATCCACAATAGATAAAATGGGAGATAGACTTAGAATTGATAGAGTTTTTGTATGAATATAAACTTCAACCCACATCCAATGTACTAGGATAAAATTGTCCCTTTCAAATGCCAAAAAAGCATAATTTTTTATCTTTCATTTGCCTCCATGCTATGGACGGGTGATATATGTCTACTCGTTATGTCAAACGGAGATATACATGTTACCGATTTTTGCATAAGGACAAGATAAGTTTATCTCTTGTCAGTGGATATAATGAAGGGATAATTTTTTTATCCCCAGCCCATTCCAGCCGTGCTGATATTGTGTAAGTGGTGACTTAAAAGAAGATGAGAAGACAAACCATTCAGCTAGAATGTGATAAAAACTCAAAATAACAAAAGCTTCGTTCGCTACTATTTTAACACACAGTATACGTGCTGTTTAATCCTTCCACTCCTCATTATTTAAGAGACCGCTTCCAGTATCTTTCCCTTACCCATAATCGGTTGCTTCGATCCTCTGTCAATCTTTCTCTCTCTACTCCTTCACACTCTTCCTCCTTTTTTAAGAAATCCTTCACTGTAACTGCTGTACGTTTGTGGAACTCTTTACCTCTCCACATTCGTCGTGCTCAATCTCTTCATTCTTTCAAAAGTCTTGTTAAATCGTATTACTTAGAACGCTATTAGATAAATTAATTTCCTTTTTCGTACTCTTTTCATTTAATCTATTATATTATATCATACATAATCTTCACTTGCCTTTATTTGTGTGTATTATCATATTTTTTATTTTTATTTTGTACGCCCCCCTCTATTTTTAACTATTGTTTACATCAGTTCTCTACACTAAGGATGTCTGGAAGAAATCACTTTCAGAGTGATAAGACCGCCTGTTGTACATTTTCTTATTTAGATTTAATTGTATTCGTTTTTGTTTTGTTTTTTGGTGTACAATAAAGAGTAAATAAATAAATAAATATACGCAAACGCAACTGAGAAAACAAATTACGAATTTGTTAAAAGGATACATCGCGACGAGTATGACATTAGAAATCTGTCAGTTCTCCACAACACTGTACTAGTGCGGCCTTTTTAACTTCCCACTAAGATGTGTGTAAATATATTATGTACGTGGTTACATTAGTGGTTAATTTAGCTCGATTGTCAGTCTTACTTACATAAAAAAGTGTGGAATACATGAGTGTGATGGCAACCTAACTAAGAGTATATTGCTCCTTTAACTTCTATTTTAAATAACCCAAAAAATACGAAATATGAAGAACAGGCTTAGTGAGGTACGACCAACTTATTAACAATTCATTATAAAAAGCTTTTTATTTACGAGTATATAACTGGGGCAAACGAACATGCGGCTCATCTGATGGTAAGTGACTACCGCTACCCATGAGTACCTCCAATACCAGGGTAATTGTGTTGCCAGCCTTTTAAAAAAGAGTATGCTCTTTTCTTGAAAAAACCGATGATGTTCGTCGATTCCATAAGGGAGTGCGAGGAAAAATACTACTGGAAAATAGCACACTGGTGGACCGCCAATCATTGAGATGGTATGAATTGTATCGTGAGTTTCCACGATGTGCGACGGTGAAATTTAGCGGCTGGAATTAGTCTTTAAAGGCCCTAGCCTTAAGTAGAAATTTCTAATGCGGCGGCTATAAATTATTCATTTTTGTTTTTATTTTAATTAATACTCTTAACCATGTAGTGGCGTTTTAAGAGAGAGAGAGAAAGAGAGAGGAGAGTATTCACCATCCCATATCATCCCGTAGATGTCGTAAGAGGCGACAGAGATAAATTGAACCAGCACCTTCCTGATAACAGCTAAAATAAATAAAATAAGTCCGGTTGCCAATCCTCTTGCCAAGCGTGGCAACTGTGTATTGCAATATACCCCCTCCCCCCCCCCCCCCCCCTTATGAGACAATCTATGGGGTAGGCCTATACTATATGTTTAGCAGGGGACTTTTGATAGGCTGTAATGGTGATGGTATTAGTAAATAATTCTCTGTTTTTTTTTTTTCAGAAATAGTCATGTCGAACATCATCATGCTCCTTGTAATAGTTTTAATGTTTCTCGAAGTGGCAAAACCACAAGAGGTATCGACCCGGTCTAGTTTGCTGGGACTGAGAAAGCAACACGCTTTTGAAGTGAACGAGTATTTAAAGAAGTTGTTGAGTCCTGACCCCACTAGGTGAGTAATCATACGTGGTTCGGAAACTTTATCATATTCTTTCTTGGGAAGTGGAACGGCGAAATCGTTATCATACGATTGAAGGACACGGAAATTTCCAGAAATTTCTGTGAATTTTGTGACGTCAGATGTCTATCATTTACTCCCTAATATTATTGTGATGGAGACATCACATGGTATATGGTTTCCATCACCCAAAAGTGTTTATCATTTGACAAGAAATGACAATAACCTGAACTCCGGGACCAATGAAATTGTTATTTGCAATTTAAAGTACTGATTTACCACGTTTCTTTATAGAATTAGGGTGACAAGCAAGCACACAGTCCACATAACGGTATGTGAATGCTGTGGTCCAGACATATCTATATTTATCCTCGACTAAGAGTCAAAATACAGGTGCGTTGACACCCCTAAGGACTAACATGTAATGCCTGATTTTCAGTCAACTAGTTTTCACGGATTTCAGCCAGGTATAATAGTGGTAAGCAAAACTGGACAAGCGAACTAACAATCTTCACCTAATGGTAGGTGGCTACTGTAGCCCATGGACATCTGCAACCAACTTGAATTAAAGAAAGCTACAGATGCGCAGTCATCATTGAGGACCAAGATGAAATTTCTTGCAGTCTCTAATTCTCTGGCTCTCTATATACCCTTGAAACTGGAACACAGCAGTTTCTTTTATATAATGGGTGTGACTAACGAGTACACAGCCCACCTGATGGTAAGTAGTTGCTGTCGCCCATAGACATTTATATTCCGGTTCTCTATACTCGTTATACGAAACACAGTACCATTAAGATGCTATTTTACGCTGGATCTGTGAGAGCGTGGTCTTACCCCGGTCACATACAGCCGACCCATTCGAGCTACAACCATAGTAATATAGCTTAAGCATGACTCTATCATGTAAATAACTGTGCCCGCACTGCTGCTTGTATTGGGTACCTACCCAAATTACCCTTTACCCCTACCCATTGTGTACTTGGTAAAGCCATGCTGCAGCTATATAATTGTTATAGCACGAATGGGTCGACTCGAACGGGGTAGAACCACGCTTTCACAGAATACCAGCGTGAAATAGCAGCTTAATGCTGCTGTGTATCGTACGATGAGTGTAGATAACTAGAGACCATTTTTATTGAAAACGAGGCTTTTTTTACTTGAAAATGAGGCATTCCATCTACGTCCCCAACGGTAACAATGCATCTGTATTTTCAATCATAATATACGATAGATTAGATGTCTATAGGCCACATCATCCACTTAATTTCAAGTGTAATATATAAAAATATATATAAAAAATACGTTAAATACTTATAAATATTTAGTGAGTGTAGAGAACCGGAGACCCCTTTTGCTGGTAACGAGGCATTCTATCTTAGTCCTTAAGGGTGACAACGAATCTACATTTTGATTCGTAATCGAAGATAGATGTACATGTCTATGGGCCACAGCAACCACTTACCATCAGGTAGGCTGTGTGCTTGTTAGTCACCCTTATCCTATTAAAAAAACGTACTACTAGGCATAAGTGCCATAGTACCTAATGAAACTGATTTTTAATCCATTTCTTTTGTTCTACATAGAAAAGGTCCAGTTCTCTTCCCCAATGACGCTCCGCCACCACCGCCAACCCCTCTCATCGTTACATCAAGACCTCTAATAGAGTCGATAGCCAGGAGTGAGCTGAATCCAAATCTGACGGGTAATACAATAACAGATCAGTCCCAGGTCAACACGGCGTCTCTCAAGCCAAGTTACCTCGGCAGGATCACTCACTACAAGGCCATACCTTTGAGGTTGCCGGCCGTCCAACCGGCTTCACTGAGAAGTGGTGTTAGTTATACATTATCACCTACAATTGCGTCAAATGTTATTGATCATGACTACTCCTATGACTCAGTACCATATATGGATATTGTGAAGAAGTCTGTTTCGAGGAATTCTGGGTTTAAGGAGAGATATCCTAAGTATGATGTAAGTAATTTTTGTCTTCTTTTTCTGCTTACTTCTAGACTTGAATCTCTCCCATAACAGGCGAGAATTGGTACACAAGGCAAACATATTGATGAACCTAATATCAGACGTCTCAGCCTACTTTTGTACTTGAAACTCTTTCATAGCAAGAAAAATTGGCAGACTTGGCAAACATACTGGCAATCGTAATATCAAGATTTGACGTTGCTTCCCGTCCTCAGTTGGAAATTCTACATCTGCCGTGTATCCTCCTTTCTTACTTTAGCGGTCCGTAAAAGTACACTTTTTTATAGAATAAGGGTGACAAACAAGCACACAGTCCACCTGATGGTAAACGATTGCTGTTGCCCATAGATATCTACATCTATTCTCAATAAAGTATCAAAATTCAGATACTTTGTCAACCGTGAGGACTAAAATGGAATGCCTCGTTTCCAGTAAAAGAGGTATCCGGTTCTCCAGGCTCACCATACAAAACACAGCAGCATTAAGCTGGTATTCTGTGAGAATATGGTCCTTCCCCGGTCGAGCCGATCCATTTGTACTACAACTATAATATAGCTTCAGCGTAGCTCTACCACGTACAAAAGTCTTTAAAAATCTCTTTGAAAATTAAAAGGTTCTCGAGTGATGGCCTCGTATCGGTGGATGAAATGTGGGGTGTCCCCCCCACTAGATGGAGTGACGACCTGGTAAGACATGCAGGAAATCGATGGATGCAGATGGCTTAGGATCGTGCTTTGTGGCATTCCTTGGGGGAGGCCTTTGTTCAGCAGTGGACTTGTGAAGAGCTGTATTGATGATGGTAATATAAGAGTGACAAGTGTCCCGTACTTGCAACCAGTTTCGATTACAGTAGACTATAGAACTACAATGGCGGACTTTTCCCAGTTTCAAATCACTCTACGTAATGAGTCGAGGCCTGTCCTGACATTTTCCAGTCCAGATTGTCTCTTTAGCTGGAAGGGAACTTATTTCAAATTCGAAGTGTTCTTATCCAAAGTACTAAAACCAAGCCTAAGACTAAAACTTAAGTTGGAAGCGTGTAGAGTAGCGGGGTTAGTGTGTACTATATATGTAAGTAAATCGCTACTCAAGAGTCTGTATTGGAGCCTGTGTGTTTTTCCTTCACACAGCACGCCCACCGCCCCGCTGAACGCTCTTTGAAATGAAATATATTTTATATCGGTGTCCGGTAAAATAGTAGTATTTTTTAGTATTATTAAACCTTGAAAAAGCATATAATAGATCATAAGATCTATTATATGCTTTTTCAAGGTTGTCCTTTCATTACCGAACATCATGTAAAAAACTAATTTTTAGTGACGCTCTATCAGCTTCTTGATAGAACTAAAATTAAAAATTAAAAAGCTGAAGTTACTCCAGGTAAACATTGACATCGGGACGTCAAACACCTCATTCCCCCGTTGCTATGGGTGCTGCAAAGCGCCCGAAACGTCTCAAATTTAAAATAACTAAAATTAAACGCAATAAAATCCATAAAAATAGTTTCATTCAATGTGTAGTGTTCGCTTAAATATTAGGAATCATTGTGAATATATTTTTATTCCATCGATCCATTACAGCCTTTAAAAGTCCACTGCTGAACATAGGCATCCCCCATAGATTACCTCATAGGGGGATTTTGCCTTAGTTCTAATATTTGTACTATTTGTTGACTAGTTTTTACGTATTTTATCGCGTATATTCACTTATTTTATAAAGTAATAATGTCGGGAATATAAAATAAGTTTATTATATATGAGATAAAATCCCTAAAAACTAGTTTTATCTAAATTAATTGCTAATGTATTTTATATCACTGCGCGCGGTGTGGACTTGGAGAGAAAGCCAAGAGGCATTAAGTCCGCTTTTTGTAACCCTTTTATTTAAGTTGATAGCAACAAAGCATACGAGTAAATAAATAAAGAGAAGTGGGCGACCCGTGACGTGATGCAGTCACTGGCAGGCTTATTGCGAGCAACTATAATGAGGTCTAGCTCTTAGTATCTCTCCAATGACATCAAACCTGGATAGGACCACGCTCTCACACAATACAATTGTGAAATAGCAGTTTAATGCTGATGTGTTTCGTGTGTTTGATATGTTCATGGTGAGTGTAGTGCACCGGAGGCCATTTGTACTGGAAAAGAGGCATTCCATCTTAGTTCTTAGGAGTGACAACGCATCTTTTTTTATGGAATAAGGGTGACAAACGAGCACACAGTCCACCTGATGGTAAGTGGTTGCTTCGGCCCATAGACATCTACATCTATCCTCTATTACAAATCAAAATGCAGATGCGTTGTCACCCGTGAGGACTAAGATGGAATGCATCATTTCCAGTAAAAAGGGTCTCCGGTTCTCTACATACTCACCATACGAAACACAATAGCATTAATCTGCTATTTTACGTTGGTATTCTGTGAGAGCGTTGCCCGTCCCTGGACCCATTCGTGCTACAACTATACTGCTAATACAGCTGCGGCATGGCTCTAACACGTAAAATCAGCATCTGCATTTTGATTCTTAATTGAGGATATAGGTAGACGTCTATAGGCAACGGTATCCACTCACTATAAGATGGACTGTGTGCTCGTTTTTCACTTTTATTCTATAAAAATATTAAAGGGAAGAGTAGAACACCACCACAAAACCTTAAGCGAGCATGACTTCAAGCGACTATACTAAGGCCTAACCCTAAGTACTTTCCCAATGAGGTCATACCCTTGATCCCTCTAAGACCTTACTCTGAGAAAAGCACGCAGCAGAGCTAATAGCACTCATCATCATTACAGCCCTTCACAAGTCCACTGCTGAACATAGATCTCCCTCAAGGAAGCACGATCTTGAGCTCCTTCCATTCTTTAACTTCCTGTGTAGCACCCAGGTCACTGTGTGTGTGTGTGTGTGTGTGTGTGTGTGTGTGTGTGTGTGTGTGTGTGTGTGTGTGTGTGTGTTTGTGTGTATTTGTCATATACGCCGAATTCCCCGCTAAAGCTGAGACCCTTAGAGAAAAGTTTATTGTACTTCAATTTAAATTTGGGTCGAAATAGAAGCCACTAATTTGAAAGTAAGCAAATTTATGCAAAATACTTTAATAGCAATTAACAAGGTATTCCTTTGCTTAATTGAGGCAGATATATACATAAATCTTGTTATTTTGTCTGTCTGTTTCATCGATTCACATCATTCATCCATTACTTTGCTAGTAATTTGTGATGTAGTTTAAAAATTAGATCTTGCGGTGTCAGGATATGCAGTCAGTGAACATGCTCAGAATTGTCCCCGCCATATAATCAGATTTCATCATCAAGCCCATTGTTTAAAACACAGTACCTCCTTATAGGCTCATTGAACCTGACATCGTGATAGCACTGCGAGAGTGCAGGAGCTAATATGAACTACCCCTGTAACGTGCTAATAATCAAGCAAAGCGATGGAGGGGCGCCGGTAGCGTTCCGGGTGGAGATTTCGGAATGGTGACCCCATTAGCGTATACAAGGGATCCCGAAACGGTGAAGTTTTAGCCGGTAGAAGTCCGGCATAACCTTTTCGTTGCCCCTGCAGCAGAAATTATCCATGAATATTTACCCACGATAAAAAAGGCTCATTAGGAAATATCTGCCACAGTTGTTACGTTGGGCAAGCAGGTTTGCAACCGTAGCTGGTTATCGTTAGGCTTACTCTCTGTTGTCCTTGTGAGAGAGAACAGAGAAAAACTACTTCATAATGTATTCTGTCTCGCCGCCGCATTTTTATAGAATAAGGGTGACAAATGAGCACACAGTTCACCTGATGGTAAGTGGATGCTGTGGCCCATAGACACCAAAATTCAGATGCCTCGATTCCAACAAAAAAAATTGTAACTACTTAAAAACTTTTAAAACAATATTCCGCACAGATAACACCGAATGATAATCTTATGTCTGTAATAAAATACAACGGAAAGTCTTAGTGGCCTGTATTTTGATCTGGGTCCGATGAGGTCATTAATAACTGTACGAGTAAGCTCTGTAGCTTCAGAACAAATCAACAATAATTAACGTTTAAAGTAGAGACTGTCGAAGTCAATTTATTACTGTTTAACAGTTATTTGAAGCAACAATGGCTCATTGGTATAGGGCTCGGACCGCGGATCTTGAAACCTAGAAGTCTTGGGTTCAATTCCGCAATCTCAATTTTGTTGTAAACTCGACGTGTCGTTGAGTAGTAAAGTAGGTTACCGGACAACTGATACGTTAAAACATTGCTTTTACAATCTATGAACATTTGATAGGCTTTAGTGGTAACGACGGCTCCTTGGCGTAGTGGCTTAGCAATAAGTTGCAACGCTTGGGGCCGCGGGTTCGCATCCCGCACGGAACAAGTATTTGTATGGCCTACAAATAATTGTTCCGGGTCTGGATGTTTGTCCTTGTGCAATATATGTTTGTAAACTGCCTCCACGATACAGGAGAAAATCCTAGTGTGAGGGTAAGGTTTTTAAAAAAAAATTTAAAAAAATGGTAAATGTATGCAGAATGTTTGTTTCAGTAGATTATGTTACAGGTAGATTTTTCACTTACAGGAAAAAGCTACGTTACCGCCGATATACAACGCGATCTCACAGCACGCACAACAAAATGCGTTGATAACTCAGCAAATTAATCCTGTCTACGATTATCAGGTAAGGCAAAACCACTGAGTTTTGTCTGTCAAGAAACTCTCAGAATCAGCTCGGAGTCAGGAAGTTGGCGAATTTCACGCCCGTTTTGTAAAGCACGTAAAGCCGTTGGTCTTACGCATGATCTCTCTCTCTCTCTCTCTCTCTCTCTCTCTCTCGTGTCGTATTACCGTCGCATCAGACTTTGAGAGTGAGGGAATAGAGAGTGCACTATAATGCTATCCTGCGCAGATTGTTAGTCTCCATTGAGACTGGCCGCTGTGACGAAAATTCGTTCTGGACGACGTTAAAAAATAAAATACGAGTAGTAAACGGACGGACTGCCTTTTTTATCTTGGGGAAATCCTCATGGATACCTTCTGTTGCGGGGGCAACGGAAAGGTTATGCCGGACTCCTACCGGCCAAAACCCCACGGTGGTCTTCATCAGCGTATATGAGGGGTCACGGGATCTCCGTTCGGAACGCAACCGGGGCCCCTCTCACGCTTTGCTCTATTAAAGCACGTCCCGGGGGCAGTCCTTACTACCCCCAGCACTCGCAATGCTATCACGGTGCTCGAGACCACTTTCAAGTCACCGTCCTCCTCAGGTGTTACATCACTAGACGCTCGGGGCCCCCGCCCCGAGTGCCCGTAACCCCCGAGGCCCCGTTTCTGTTAGGGGAACACCATCATCAAGGGGAGGGCCCTGACGAACGTCGTCTTCGAGCTGGATCTGTCCTCTCCCGACACCGCTCAGCAGCCTCCTTCTGTATCATAACGGATTCACAGAAGGTGGCTACGGCCCTCCACGCGGAGTCCCTGCTCAGCATCGCCGACACGACTGCCGGCAGGGAGAGGTTCTGACCGATCTTGCTTACCAGGACCGTCCGCTCCCGTTCCCACGTTGGGCATGTTGCCAGCGTATGGGATGCGGAGCCCTGTACCTGCCCACCGCAGTGGAAATAGTTTGCCGTCGCTTCCCGTCCAATCTTACACAAATAATCACCGAAGCACCCGTGCCCGGTCATTATCTGTGTAAGTCTGTAGGTGAGTCTTCCTGTTCTTCGATGCATTCAGGCTTCAAAGTGCGGCAGGATTGTTCCAACAACGCATTTACACGCATAACGCTCTTCAGAGAGGCGAGCGCGCCACGTTTCGAATGCGTTAATTCGTTCCTGCCGCTTGACACCTTCGAACACCTCATCTGGCTCACTCCCGATGCTCTGGCGGAGGACACGCGTCCGGTGGTACACCCTCGCATCCATGTCCGCCAGTATGTCCAGAGGTGGAAAGCGAGCCAGGAGAGTCGCCGCCTCAAATGATATTGTGCTGTATCCTCGCACGATTCGTATGGCCATCCTCCGCTGCACCCTGTAGATTTTAGCTCTACAGCGTTGGATGGCCAACCTTTTCGCCCAAACAGGCGCCCCGTACAAGGCTACGAACCGAGTTACTCCTTCATAGAGGCGACGCACTTCTTCCCTTGGTCCCCCTAGATTGGGCAGCAGTCTATGGATAGCACCCGCTACCCTTTCAATTCGGGGGACAAGGCACTCGAAGTGTCCTTCGAAGCCCCATCAACTGTCCAGGTGGAGGCCTAGGTACTTCATGTACCGCCCCACTTGGACTTCAGACCCACCTACGCGGACGCACGAGTCGGGTGGTTCCCAGCCGCGACGTAATTTATGGAACCATAGCGCCTCGGTTTTCTGAGGCGCTATTTCTAATCCCAACTCGTGGATTTCGGCGACGACGACTACCGCCCCAAGCTCGGCGAGCTCTTTGGCCCTCTCGAAGTTGGCCCCGCTGGCAAACACCAACGTGTCGTCGGCATAGCAAACGATATCTACGCTAGCGGGAAGTTCAACTCGCAGAACCGCATCATAGGCGAGGTTCCACAGTAGCGGCCCCAGCACCGAGCCCTGTGGAACCCCACGTCTGATCTCCCTCCTGATCTTTCTACCATTATGCCCCATGTATAGGATGTACCTGTCGCGCAAGTAGTCCCCAATAACACCTTGCAGGTAGGGAGGCACCTGATGGTGTGCCTGTGCGCTCCGGATTGCGCCCCAGGGTAGAGAATTAAAGGCGTTGACGATATCGAGACTTATCGCAAACGCCACACCACTCTGGGTTACTGCTTGTTCCGACAGGGAGCGGACGCGCATGATGGCATCTACTGTAGAACGCTCCCGTCGGAATCCAAACTGGCTATCAGCCAAATCGGGACCAACGCGCGACAGATGCCCGTTGAGCCGAGTGGCAACTATTCTTTCGAACAATTTGCCGATCTCGTCCAAGAGGCATATGGGACGGTACGCAGAGGGAGAATCGGCGGCCCTGGCTTCCTTCTTCAAGAGAACCAACCTTGCCTCTTTCCATGCGGTGGGGAACTTGGCACTTCGCAGATAGTCGGTAAAAAGCTGCCTAAGCCTGTCCCCCAGATTAGCCAGACTCAGCACTAGGACTTGACCCGGGATACCGTCGGGTCCCGGTGCAGTGTTCCGGGCTCTTAAGCGGCTAACGGCTCGGTCCAGCTCCTCCACGGTTACCACCATCTCATCTTGCCACTCCCATGATAATGGCGAGTAGCTTGAGGGACTTGACCGGTCCTCTGGGAAGAGTGTGCTGATCACCCTTTCCAGCAGGTCCGAATCGAGAGTCTCCGTCAAGGGGGGCGACCAGGGCCGGAGTTTACCCAGCACCATTCTGTATGGGCGCCTCCAGGGATCTTCGTTGAGTCCCTCCAGGAGCTCATTCTAGGACCGAGACCTGGCATTGGCAATGGCGAATTGCAACGCCTTTGTAGCCGCGCGGTATTGCCGACGTGTCCTTTTTCGAGGCATCTGAAGCAATGCATAGGCCGAGGTTCGGGAAGACCTACACGCGCAGATCCCCAGCCTACGTGTACACGACCTTGGGCCAGGATCTTGCGGACTGCTGTGACTGGACAACGCACCCAGCATGTCCCCATACTGGTGGGAGTTTGGCGAATTTCCCCAACTTTAACATCATCCACCGTGCATCCTCCCACTGCACCTACCGCTGCCGCCACTTCCTGAGGGCTCACCGCGTCGTCTAAGTCTTTTAATTGAACATCGCCTGTTTTCATTGGGCGACCAAAGCGAATGTTCAGATCTGAAAGGACCTCCCTCATCGTCGCCGCCAACTTATCCGCCTTCTGGCCACAGTCTGGGCCAGTAATTTCTAGCAGCGGACGGACTGCCTGCTGTGAACTACAATATTTCTCCCTAAATGTACCATACAATATCCATCGTCGTCCAATAACATAACTGTTACACTCTCCTCAATCCAGGACTAACATGAGGTCATACGCCCCGGTACCACGAATATGTGACACCTATAATTCACTCTGTGGTATTGTTTACTGTCGATATTTTTCATGATACTTTCCCTAAATATAGGAAAAATGTAATAGATCACTATGATTTAATTATAATCTAATATCCATGTTCCCTACTGCTGCTGCTTAGTTAGGAGAATGTTTTTATTGTCTTAGTTATGTATTTTCTTTAAATATTATTTTTATGACATATTTTTTACAACCTATTGTGACTCTGCCCTATCTTAATTCTTAAAGTATTTTGTAATGCTGTGTCACCTATAAGGCAAGTGCACACATCAGTCCCTAGATTAAGCCCAATTAGATTAAAATGTAATAATGCGTGCACTGCTGGTGTTCTATTAATAAATAAATAAATTATTATCATTATAGTTTTCTCATCAGGTTGGTTTGTATAAACCATTTGGGTTAAACGGTCTAAGGTATAAATATATAAAAGAAAATGATAAAAATACATAAGTATACATTAAATATAGTAAAATAAACAAATAAAAATTTAAAACCACTGTTAAAATTGCAATATAATACAGTATGTTTGATTCTGTTATGTATAGTTCGAGGTTTCATTTGCAGGAAACAGCTACGTTACCACCGATATACAACGCGATCTCGCAGCACGCACAACAAAATGCGTTGAAAACTCGGCAAAGTCATCCTGTCTACGATTATCAAGTAAGGAAAAGTGAAATTTTTTGAAGAAAGGATAGGTTCTTATTTATTTATCTAATTACATTTTATTAGACTTATTTAAGCACACAGTCCACCCGATGGTAAGTGGTAAGTGGTCCATAGACATCTTCATTTATCCTCGATTAAGAATCAAAATGCAGATGCGTGGTAACCCTTAAGGATTAAGATGGAATGCTTCGTTTCCAGTGAAAAGGGTCTCCGGTTTTCTACACTCGCCACATGAGACATAGCAGCATTGAGCTGTTAATTTACGCTGATATTCTGTGAGAGCGTGTTCCTACCCCGGTCGAGCTGACCCATTAGTGCTATAACCATAATATAGCTGCAGCGTGGCTCTAACACGTATTTTAGAGAGGTAATATAATTACTGGCTGGCTATGAAGCATTCCATCTTAGTCTACAAAGGTGACAACGTATCTGTAGCCTTCTTCGTTTGAAGTTGACTGCAGCTATCTATTTGCTGCAGCAAACACTTCTGCAACTTAAATTTTTATAAAATTAAAGTGACAGAAGTGTTAAATGAAGTTAACCCTGCGGATTAGGAACCTCGCTTCAAGTAAAAATGGTCCACGATTCTCGTTATTCAACCTGCTAAACACAGCAGTCTCATGCTGCTATTTTACGATTGTATTCTGTACAACCTCTATATTATTACATGACAATAAATACAGGCCATCTTAACAACAGGTGAGTTAAAATATTTTAGCGAAATCTAGAGATTGTTCTATCGAGAGCTTTTCAACAAAATAGATCACTAAAGAAATAAAAATAATGATTCTAAGAATACAAGCAATCTAATATATAAAATTAATGTTTGTATTTTATGCGCAGCCATACCGTTCATTGTCAACTTATTGCTTGCATTTGCGCGAAGTTTAGAGACATAGTACAATTAACTTACAGCAGCTGACGCGCGTATCGTACCGACATATTTATTTGAAAGTTATTATAATATATCGTTTAATTTCAAGGAATGTATTATTATTCCAAATCAAACAATATAACTCTTCCAAATTTAACACGATATTTCCACAATTATTTTATTTCCGGCAGCATTGCACTGGGTACCAGCTAGTGTTGTATAAAATTGTGCTAAGACTTATTTTCTAATACCTTAATATTTATCAAAATTAAAAAAAAAAACAATTTATTGAACGCTATTTTATAATGATAAGTAAAACCTAATTAATAATTATAAATTAAATAATTATATAAATGCTTGAAGACAAAAAGAACAAACGAGTTATTTTTAATTAACTATTAATTTATTCTTATATGAATTTCTACCAATTTTTTAATTTATTTAAACTTATATTAAATTCCCAACATTTCGAGCGCTCTCCACTAGTACATGGCTATAATTGAGACTTTCCAGTTGAGAATTCTATATATAGTTGAGAGTTCTCTTTCTTTGGTATATGTGGTTCAGAATTATCTCCTTCACCAAGGTTTGCCTGGAAGAGATCGCTGTTTAGCGATAAGGCCACCTAATTGTACATTCGTTGATAAATTTAAGTTTGCTGTGTTGTGTAGTGTTTTGTGTGCAATAAAGAGTATAAATAAATAAATAATAAATAAAATGTGATTATAATCACATTCTGAACCACATAATATACCAAAAAATACACAATATACCTATATTAATATTGCGTATTTTTTAAATCATTTAGAAAACTATCAAAACTCATGTTTAGATTTCTCTTCGCTTCAGTAATAAATCTAAGCTCTTATGTTTACAGTCAAAGCAACAAATAAATCAGTACGATTCCAACAACTTCTCGGATGAAGGGAGTAACTCGCAAAACGCCGAGGCAAGTACACCTTCAAAACACTTTATTATATGTCTTCCTTATTTATGGTAAAGTAAAATTAATTAACAACCTGTGTATAGAATAAGGGTCACAAACGTGCACACAGTCCACCTCATGGTAAATTGATGCTGTGACACATAGACATTTTCAGTCATCCTCGATTAAGAATCAAAATGCGGTTGTGCTGTCACCCCTGCAAACTAAGATGGAATGCCTCGTTTCCAGTAAAAAGGTCTCCGATTCTCTGCACTCAACAAACGAAATAGTAGATTTTTACTGCTATTTTACGCTGGTATTTTGTGAAAGCGTTGTCGCCTATCGGGCCAACCCATTCTTGCCAAAACCATAATATAGCTGCAAGGTTCTTCATTCATGCGGCTCACCTGTTTTGTGGCATTCTTTAGGGGAGGCCTATGATCTAGTAAAGGGCACTAGACTAGTAAAGAACTATAATGATAGTAATGATGATAATATTAATGACGGCATCGACGACTTTTTCTGCCACCAGGGCGGCGCCACTTAAAAGTGAGGTATAATATTTGACAGATTTCATACAGGGGAAGTTAATTTGTTCGGAAAATGTAAAGTTTATTGTTTCTTTCTGTACTATTAACTATATTTTATATTATTAAGATTAAAAATAAGTAAACCAAACCATAGATATTCATAAAAGTAGAAAATTTTAAAAATAATATTAAAAAAAAGCAAAAAATTTAAGAGCATACCACTGTGGCATTGTTTTGTGTATTAACATAATACTCTAGAAACTGATAAACTTTTATTAAAAACTAATTTCTCAATTAAATGACATTATGTAACATAACACTTTACCTCAGTGTTAACTAGCAACATCTGGTGAGCAGAAAATTATTAGCACTCTTTATATCATTTTTTAGGATAAGAACTACGCGTTCTCCTACATAGTAAAAGACGAAAAGACCGGCGACGATTTCTCCCACTCCCAACGCAGCAGCGGTTCCGCCACAAACGGAGAGTACCGAGTTCGATTACCCGATGGTCGTTTACAGATAGTTTCGTACACTGCTGATGAGAACGGATATAAAGCTGATGTGAAATACGACGTGGACAGTACTGGAAACAGCGTTGAATACAGTACTCAGAACCAACAAAAAAATGCAAACAACCGCAAAGATTATAACGAAAACTCCAACCAGTTTACTAATAATGCAGCAAAATATAGCAGCGGAAACAACAAAGTGTATTCTAATTATAATTCACCAACAAAAGTAGAATTATATCAAGACTTATCTAAAGAATATTATAACGATTATTCTTCAGAACATGGAACTAAAAATTATGATCCACATCAAAGTAAATTCGCAGATTTACTAAAAGAGAAAAAAACTGATACGGTCAGTAATTTAGACTTCAAAACAAATTTCGACCCGGATTACCTAACATCAACACTAAAACCTAATTACCTAAAACTAACAGATGTTTTAACGAAAGCCTTGCCTAATGTACAACCAACGTTCAATTATAATTATCCTAAAGTAGAAACAACAACAGAGAACTTTGTACTAATTGATGATCGAAATCGATTTACTAGTCCTAACACGCCATCGGTCTCGCCACACTTTAATAGTTTTGTGGCTTCCACTCCTAGAAACTACCTAGTTTCGACTATCGCTAGTTTGAAAGATAGAGTAGGGTCCAAACCTCTATTATCCGATAGCTTCATTAGCAGAATCAACAAGTATTTATCTTTCAAGTGAAAACTTTGTTTTATTGTTAAGGGATACAAATTCGTTTGAAATGTTTCGTAAGACAAATTGGACTAAAGTTGTACTTATGTTAGCTTTGTTGTTATTGTTACGTCTCGATTTCATTATGTAATTATCTGAGACATGTTTTAAAGTTAGCACAAGATCTATTCGTAAATGGAACGAATAAAATCGTTTTCGTTTATTCAGTTTCAAAATTATCTTGTGTAAGATTTAGACATTGTTTTTGGGAAGGCCTTTAAAAACTTTTTATCTTGTAATAAGTGTTACATCCTTCATAGTGTTATTTTGTGCGAACTTCCATCGTACTTTGTATATAATTATTTAAACTGTTTTAAATTAATTAGCATTTAAGTTGAACATTAATAAATCATAATTTGACATATTTTTTTTTTTATTGATAATAACCCATAGTGTTACCTTCTCTTCTGTCTCTGTTGGCATCTAACCCTGTAAACAGTCCGCTGTTGGATATGTGTCTCCGATAGATTTTTTTTAAAACCTTACGTATCGTGGAGGCAGATTTAAACATAATATGTAAAGGGCACAAAGACAAACATGCAGTCGCGGAACTATTAGTTGTAGGCCATATAAATACTTTGAGTTTCCTCATACGGCCAGCAGTGAAGGACCACATCTCAGATCCATAGGTCATCTACTGGCAACACGCACTGGTTGTACAATCTAGTTTTGAGGTATGTCTGACGAAAAGATATGTAATAAAGAATTAGTTTGCTGAAGTGGCAATGGGCTGGCCATATAGCTTGTAGAACCGACAACCAGCGGACGAAGTGTAGGGCATCCTCCCACTAGATGAAGGGACGACCTGGTAAGATATGCAGGAAGTCAATGGATGCAGGTGGCTCGGGACCGTACATTGTGGCGTTCCTTCGGGGAGGCCTATGTTCAGCAGTGGACTTGTGAAGGGCTGTAATGATGATGATGATGATGATGATGACGATACAAACACTTTTTCCGTGCGGGATTCGGAACCGCGGCTCTCAGCGCCGGATCTAATTTCTAAGCCACTGTGCCACGGACACGTCAAGAATTGTAAGTATTTGCTATATTAGACATAGTGATAGATGTTGTGATGATTATAACGTCATCTATAAGAGGGCTTGAGGTCTTTCTGGCATTTTCCATTTTCGCTTCTTAACACAACCACCAAAGATATGGAACAACAAGGATGTGGAAAGGATAATTTCATAGGCAAATAATAGCACTTACTTCAAATTTAAACGTTTCATTCAAATTTGTACGTGGTAGAGCGATGCTGCAGCTATATTAGTAGTATAGTTGTAGCACGAATGTGTCGGCTCGACCGGGGAGGGACCACGCTCTCACAGAATATCACCGTAAAATAGCAGCTGTTTCGTATAGTTAGTGTAGAGAACCGGAGACCCTTTTTACTGGAAAAGAGGTATTCCATCTTAGTTCTCACCGGTGACAACGCTGCATCTGCATTTTTATTCTTTATTGAGGATAGATATAGCTGTCTATGGGTAACAGCAACCACTTACCATCTGGTGAACTGTGTGCTCGTTTGTCAGCCATTCCTATAAAAAAGAAATTCGTGATGCAATGTGTACAAAAAATAAAACAGCAGTCGTTGTTCTACCTTCCTCAATAAATGGCGTGGCATGATAAGTAATTACTCCTTTGATTTTAATCCGCACTTTTTGCAGTATAAATATAAAATAAAATTACTTTAGAAACTGTACTTTTTCATTCCGCCCTTCCGTTTAGTATGAAAACGTCTCGCACGTAATTCTGTTTCCGAAATAGATTTAATACCATAGACCACATGCATACTCTTCGACAGGATATTCAGAACTCTAGAAGAGTATAATCTGAAGTGATTTGGGCGATGCTACAACTGTATATCTTTGTAAGATAAATCTTTTTTTTATAGGATAGGGTGACAAACGAGCACACAGTTCACCTGATGGTAAGTGGTTGCTGTGGCCCATAGACATCTACATTTATCCTCATTTGCGAATCCCGAAAGTTGTTACCCGTGAAGACTAAGATGGAATGCCTCTTTTCCAGTAAAAAGGGTCTCCGGTTCTCTACCCTCACCATACGAAACACAGCAGTGTTAAGCTGCTACTTTACGCTGGTATTCTGTGAGAGCGTATTCCTTCCCCGGTCGAGCTGACCCATTCGTGCTACAACTATACTACTAATAAAGCTGCAGCATGGCTCTACCACGTAGATCTGTTACGAATCAGCCGTAAAAGAACAATAGTTACTCACATAGTCACAAAGTTCCAACTGAAAATCAGCGCTATCATTTGCTGTGTTTTTTTTCGTTATATTATTAATAATTAATGCAATTATGTAATTATTCTTATTCGTTAATGCATACGCAGTCTAAGATTATTACGTGCATATTTTTTCCCTTGTTTTTGTATGTTTCTTTGTTTAAAACATGTGTATCAAATAAATAGTCCTTTCTTGCATAGCCTAGCGGGTCAGTAAGCTCAAGTGACAATTGGCACTGTCGTAAAGCTCGAACAACTGACAACCGATGGGGAAGAAAGGTTCTGATGTAACCTCTTAGACCAAACATTAGATGGAATGCCAACTTGATAAAGCACGCAGGTAATCGAGGGATGCAGGATGCAGGTCAATATATTGCTACAAACGATATACCCAATGAATAGAATAGAACAGAATATAATCATTTTTATTCAATATAGATTACAATACATAATACTTATTTAAAAATAAACAATATAAAAATTTAACAAAATAAATAAAATTCACCATTTTGAATAAAATTATCGTATTATCAATCCATTCATATCAATCCACGATTTCATAACTTCAGGCCATGTAGCATCTATTTTATGTACCACCGTGAGAGTTGAATCAGCTTTTGTTTGATAAAATGACTTTACTTATGGAATGAAGTAGATGACACTATAACTAAGCAATTTTATTCAAAAAAAATACTTTGATTTATCACACAAAAATTAAGTTTAAAAATAAGGATTAGAATAGAATAGAATAATTTTTATTCCATATAGATTATTACATAACACTCATTTTTTACTTTTACCACTGGTTCGCAAAAAAACCTCTATCCTGGGAAGGACCAGCAAAAAACCCAACGGAACTTTTTTTTAAAGCACAATTAACAATATAATATTTTATACAATTGTTATGAAAATATTTAGGAAAAGCATGGTAGCGATTACCACATTCCCAGGGGTTATTATCAGTGTAAATGTATAACGGTAGGCCTACTCCTGTGAGAGGCGATTAGAAATTCACAGACAGGCACTTTCTTCCGTTTCCGAATTTTACTTTTTTATGATAAATATAATATGAAAATAATTTTTCAACACAGAGCCACCAACAAAAATAGACCGGCGACAAATCCACGAGCCAATAATTCAAAGTGTACTTCCGTAGCTTCGGATGACGCGGCAAAATATATTCAAAAGTTGGACGTTTTCAAGGCAGCACTGAGTTTTTCTCGTTTACGAGTGACAACGAGAGACACGAGGCCGATGTATCTGGGTCATCGTATTGTGGCACTTCCCCGGACGATGACTTGCGGCCTCTTTTTCTTTTCGATCTCGATCTCATGCTTGTCGGGCCAGGAGAATCGCTATTCGTTCCTTTACCAAAAGCAGCGATAGGCAGTTTTTGTAACATGCAAATCAGTATAGTCAAAGAAATTGTTATAAATGCATAATGAAATCTATGAATAGATTCAAATGAACTACTTTTACAGATTTTTATCGCATTTTTTTTATAGAATTAGGGTGACATACGAGCACACAGTCCACCTGAAGGTAAGTCTACATCTATCATCAATAAAGACTCAAGATGCAGATGCGTTGCCACCCGTGAGGACTAAGATGGAATACCCCTTTTCCAGTAATAAGGGTCTCCGGTTCTCTACACTCACCATACAAAACACAGCAGCATTAAGCTGCTATTTTACGCTGGTATTCTGTGAGAGCGTGGTCCTTCCCCGGTCGAGCCGACCCATTCGTGCTACAACTATACTATTAATATAGCTGCAGCATGGCTCTACCACGTAGAATCTAATTTTAACTGTTTAATTTTCGACGTTTTGGGAGCTTACAGCTCCCACGGTCAAGGTATTTGACGTCTTGATATCATATTAACTATGAAGGCTTAAGGTAGCGAAGGTTACCTTCAATTTTTTAATATTAATCGTCGGTGCTATCTACGCAGAACGATCTTACAGTATCTTGTAGTCCTGCAGTAATATGCTTGGGCTTGGATTTAATTTTATTAATTATGGGATCACACGCAGATAGTAGCACCAGCCACCTTCTCTATTGAAATTAGATAATAATAATATTTTTAATTTCAGTAGCCTCGCGAATCATCCTTGATAGGAATCGATGTTTTTTTCAGAGGATTTGTGATCTATCAAATGTATTTATTATGGAAGTTTGAGTTCTACAAACAAGTAGATGGCTCACCTGTATCTCCCAAAGTTGCCTATGCATATATGGAGGACTTTGATGACAAAGCTCTTCTTACTTCACCCGTAAATATAATTTTATTATTGTAATAGCTACTTGGTATTAGATGAATTAGCTCACTTGTGAGTCTATTATTATAAAATATGATCGATAGTAATGACTGCCTCGTTGATCTAGTAGTCGTAAACGTTTATGAGGTTCTGGGTTCAAATTCCGTGCCAGGCATAATTCAGTTATTGGTTTTTTGTCAAGAAATTCTAGAAGCACAGAATTAGAAAGTTGGCAGTGTTTCATCTCCGTCTCGGAAAGCACATAAAGCCGTAGTTCTTGGGCCTGATCTCCGTCCGGTCGCGACGCATTACCGTCCCATTGGTGGTGCTTGCGCATACACTTATGCATTATAATCATGTCCTGCACTGAAATTTGGTTTGGATATTATGTTATAAAATAGGTTTTCAGCTGCTACCATAACTACAATATAAGGAATTGCTATGGACCTTGGTACCCGTTCATATC